AAAAAACTCACATTCATTCAAATACATAGTTTACCTAAAACTTCTCTTTCACCGGTGTGGTTTACTGCCATCTTGGATAACTGCAACAAGCTGACAACTAGCTTTACCACAATGCCATCTTGTGGGTTATCTAGGAGTAATTTCAAAAACATTCGCTTAAATGGCCATAGTCACAATATTCTTATTTACAATATGGATAGACATTAAATTACCTCATGAGAAATTTTTAATAAACTTTTTAAAATGTCTTACATTATGAACAGCTCAAAAATACATAGAGTATGAATTTGAATTTTTCAAGAAACACCATTATATGAAAGTGATTTAATATTTGGCAGAAAAACTCTCATCAAAAACTTGTGCAGAAAAGTCTATATTAACTTAGCAAAATAGCAAATAATCAGAAACATAAGAATCACCCAACACTAAAGCTAAAAGGAACCTTGGAAACCTTAGATTTTTAACATTTAGCATTTAGAATCTAGACCAGCACTATCCAGCAGATCATTCGACAATGATGGAAATGACTATAATCTGTGCTGTTGAATGACATCCACTAGCTACATATACTTGTGACAACTTAGTGTGTTAATACAACGAAAAAACTAATTTTATATTTTCCCTAATTTTAATCCATTTAAATTTAAATAGCCACCAACATCTACTGATTTTATTACATAACACAAATCTAGCCAATAAAATAAACACGGGAGAACAAGATTTAATAGTATTCATATTTTACATAACTCAGAACAATGCACTCTGAGCTCAAATGGTCAAAACTAAAATGTTTTAAAAAGTACTAAAGATAAAAAGGATACAACAGAAATATGAAATTAACGGGTACAGGAAGACAAAAATCATAACCAAGTACAAAAGTTTTCTCTTTAGTGTAATACCATAATAACATAAACTCAATCAAAATAATATAAAAATAGATGTTTTCTTGAGTAAAAAAAAAAGGGTAGAAATATGTATAAGAACATGTATACATACACGCAACACACACAGCTTAAAGGCTTAAAATGAGGTACATTTCTTTCATTTAAGTAGGTTTAAGCACAAGGCACAGATATACTACCCTGTAGGCTAAACTCTAAAGATTTAAAACTTTTCTTTTGGGCAGTAGGAAGTTGTTAAAGTTTCTAAAGTAGTAGACTAACATGATCATATTTGAGTTAAAGAAATCACACAGAGCTGGGCATGGTGGTGCCCTCTTATAATCCCAGTGGCTTAGGAGGCTAAGGCAGGAAGATCGCCAAGTTCAAACTTAGCCTCAACAACCTATGAGTCTCAAAGAATTAAAAAAGGCTGGAGATACGGTTCAGTGACTAAGAGGCCCTGGGTTTAATCCCTGACACCAAAACAAATAACAAAAAAATCATTCTTTCAGAGGATAGATTAAATGAGAATAGTTCACAGTAGGAGACTAGTTAGGACCAATTTTATGGTTAGATGAGAAATGATGAAGGGCTGAAATATGGCTATGGCAATCAAACAAAGAAGAACTTACAAGATTCTTTCAAAAAGAAATAGGTAGAAATAACCCATGACATTTAAATTAGTACCCTGAGATGCTCTCATAAGGTCCATCATCTGATCTTTATGTTGTTCTAGTTGTCTTCGAAGATCCTTTAATCCTTCAAGCCTTGTCAATGGAAGCGCATCATAATCACTTACTGCAAGAAAATGGTTAATTTCCTAAAAGAGAAAATTAGTTAAAATGTAACTTGCTTTTATAACATTTACTAGATAAGTCTATAGAATAAAACTTAATAAAAGAAAAAAATTGGTAAGTGCCTTTTAAAGATGATAACTCATAAACCAAAGTAGAAATAAAGTTCTTTCACTTCAAATTCTATAATGTTTTAATCCTTTAAATTACAATAGATTCTATTATAACACAGATCAGAGGAAAAAATTTGAATTTCTGTATGGTAATTTTTATATGTTGTTTTCATATTGATATATAGTAAAATAGAGGTTATAAGTTTAAAATTATACTAAGATTTATAAGAAAAAAATACACCTGGACGCAGTTTTGAAGTTTATCAAGATTAAAAATTGAAATACTATTTAAAAAGTTAAATATTATCTCTAATGCAAATATAAAACTGACCCCCAAAGGATCAGATGGTGATTTTAAGTTATTAATGGACTAGACTATCTTAAAGATTTTTTTTTTTAATTTCCAGTGCTGAGGACTCAATCTGTGACCTTGACCATGCTAGTTAAGCACACTTCCATTAAGCCACATCCCCAGTCTTGACCATAAGTTTATGTGTGCGTTAAAATCAAGAATATTTTTATATCACATTCCTTGAATATTCAAATTCATTCTTTACCAGGAGACTTTGGTATCAATACTTTAAGCTCAATGCAAAAAAAATGCATTAAGATTCATTTTTTATTTGTTAAGAAGGTAATCTTTTTACCACAACAAAAAATTCAATTTTTACCACTAGAACATTAGAGATTTTTAAGTACTCCTCTTTATGCTTTCTAATACCAAATAGTAAGAAGATGAAACTTTTATTACCTCCAAAAGTGAAAAAGGCCCTCTACTGTATTTGATATTCTGCTGAGTAATACGCAAATCCTTAAAAAGAATGTGGTCAGGAAAAGGATCTAAAAGCTTAATCGTGAGATAGAGGTTTTCATTATCCTTGTTATCTATCACTAAATACTTCAACAAGTTCAGTACCTAAACATAATTTAAAAAGAAAAAATTAAAAGGAGAAAATCTATAATCATATTTCAAAATAAAAA